TTTGTAAATGAATGTTCACTATAAATAATCCAATCAGGCCATTCAATCTATAAATCTTAATCTAAAGTAAAACTACTAAAAGTATATATTTGATTGTTATAAATATTAACTCTCCATAACATCATTTATCAGGGATAAATAATTGTTTTTGTGCATTGAATTATCAAGTAATTAGAAATTTTATCAAAAGAAATGAAATTTGTTTCGAATTCTTAATTTAATCTTAAAATCTAAATTTCATTATTTTCCTAAAAAAAGTTGAAATGATTAATTTACAATTTAGCATTTTATTAGCAAGGGATATGATAATGATTGATAGCTTAATATAGGATTTCCAATTAGAAATATAAAGCCATCATTTATTATTGCATTCATGAATTAAATCAAAACAGGATCTTAGGTAGTGCAGTAAGATTATTTTGGCAAGCCATCAATTATGTTAATTATTCCAAAGCAATCTTAACTTTACATCATATATACAATTAGATTTAAATCTTCTGAGGCTTAAATAAAATCATTAACGTTTGAAACTGAATAATAAGATAAGTTATACATTCTAAAATTCAAAGGCTTCATATAATAGTTCAATTTTTAAGTAAACATGTAGTAATTTGGCATATAGCCATCAACAACTTTTATTGATCCGAAAACTAAGTAGCCTTCATTATTTGGGTAGGGTATTAACTTATTATAAAAAATGGAGCCATCAAACACATCGAATTTTTCAAATGATTGTGCTACTGAAAAGGAATCAAAGCAATTCAATTGAAAGGCCTGCTGAATTCTATTATTTAAAGTTTGAGGTAAATAACAAATATTACAATTAGCATAAGATTATAATCTGCAGAAAAAATCTTTGTTTACCAATGGTAGATTTAACTAAAATTTTATTAGAATCAAATAACTCCATTATTTAAAATGAGAAAAAGATTTAATTATAATATTTAATAGGATAATTGAATATAACACTCATCACATGTAATGGCATAATTTCAGTAAGGGGTTTTGGGGTTTTGGGGTTTTGGGG